TCTCCTTCAAATAAATGGGACTACTGAAGTTGTATAAAGCTGAAAGCCACCTGAAGTAATGCTTTGGACTGGATGCACTGGCCCAATATGCTCTTACATATGCATCTTTATACCAGAATGACTGTTTTCTCAGCTTGGTGCTGCCATATACAATTTTTAGCCTGGCCAGGGTTGTGCTATTCCTGTTTCATTTCTGGTGATCCCAACCCTTTCCCTCCTTTGGTCTGCCATCTTGGAGAACTGCTGGTGAATTGTGTTAGGAGCAGAGCTGAGCTAGGTGTGTTAGGCTTCTGTCCTAAGGCTTAGACACCTTAGAGGTGTCTAAGAGAGGTATTACCATACAGAATTATTGTCTTCATTAGAGAGCAGAAATGTAATGTTGTGTTCACTGGGTAGGATTCATTTTATTGTTTTCACTAAAATAAAATAATTTTTAACAAGGTAAATGACCTTACAGTTTTATATCTTCCCAACAAGCTGTGACTGGCTGTGGAATACACTATGTTGACCATGAACTCTGTCACCTTTTCCTCTGATTTACACAGAACCTTATGGATAACAAATAAAGTTTCTCCTTATTGCAGGAGGGTGGGGGAATAAAAAAGCACCAATGAATATCTGAACAGGCTGCCATAAATACATCTTGCTTGGCATGCCTGTCCCCGAGGTGAACTGATTTGTGGCCTGGATTAAAAAATGTTTTACTGTTCTTTGCTTCTCACTCTGTGGATTCAGCTATTTAGATCAGGCTAATTTTCAACTGAAGAAACTGAAGAGCTATTATTCTCCCCAAAGGTTATCTCATTTGTTTAAAAACTGGTGGCAAACCATTGACCGCTCTATTTGTTTCAAAGAGAGCAGCTGTGGGGGAGGAGGGTTATATCTGGAAAACTCCCACATGCAAACTCCCAAGGTCCTTTCCTGAAATAACAAATAGTTTCACGAGTGGTAAAATGAACTTCGCGTGGTTTCCAGCAACTCTCTCCTCAGCTGTAGCAGAGGATGAGCTCATCTGGTTATGGTCGATAGGATTTAAGAGGGTATATTTCTTGTCATAAAACATGTCAGAATACAGTATCTTTTCAGCCTCTACCACTGTGTCAAAGTTGTTGAGTTTGGCCAGCCACTTCTACAAGGGGAAGAAAGGCAGAAGCAAACTTATTCACAGGACACCACCTTAGGAAGTGAGGCTAAAATTCCAGAAACCTTAGAAAAGTGGAACTAAATATTCCATATTATTGGTTAGGTCCTTAGACAAGGTCATTCTCTGAATTCTTCTTCTTTCTGAAGGAATTGACACTTACAGACTCTCCTTGCTCAATGGATATCCAAGAACAGATGTCAGATTAGCTATTAGCAAGCAGTTATTGCCTTTTGGGTTTTGGGTTTTTTTTAATTCTATTGAAGGAATTCATTGTCTCTCGAATTATGATAATAAAAGTGAACTTCTTTCTGTAGTCGGTATGTCATGACTGGGAGTAGCTTTAACAAGAATGTGTTGATACATTGCTAAAGCTTGCAAGGAAACGCAGGCATCCAGAGCAAACACAGGATGAAATCTATGTTTCTTAATCTTGCTGCTCATGCAGCGTGGCATTAGGAGAACATGCTCTGGCTGGGAAGGAGAAACATTGGATGTGCTAGGCACCCATCCTGGGGAAAGTCTTGAGACAAGCACAGTTTCCTGAATATTGAGCTGAATTCTCAGTTCCCAGCTGCCCTCCATGCAGGGGGAGGAAGGCAAGCACTTCTGAAAATGCAGCTGCTTTGAGCATTTAAATGGGAGCTCCTCTAACTTGGACAGCTGGACTATCATGTATAACATTATGTTTAAAATTAGTGGTTGGGAAAGAATTAAGAGGAAAAGAAAAGAGAGATTACTTCAGATAAATAAAATATAAAGCATGCTGCTTCCCAGTCAGTTCAGACTCTCTGCAGGGAAATGCCTCACTGCAAAGGATGTCTCCCAGCTTTCTTCCCACTCATCTTCCTTATGAGATAGTTTCCCTTCCCCAGTGCAAAGATGTCTTTGTAGCTCCTGCCATCTAGAATATCCTCCTTCTGTGTATTGCTTAAATGACCTTTTCGCCTTATGACTTAACACCTACTTATATTCATTGTCAAATATATTAATATGCTTTTTAGTAAATGTGACAAGCAGTGTATTACCCACTGTCATCTTTTATTTACTCCTATAAAGCATTATGGAATACAGTTAGTATGTGACATTCAGGACACACTATAATACTGCACTGTATTGCATTGCAACATGGGACAGTTCAGTGCCTTGAAAGAGGCACTGCCTTTTCCTTTGCCTACCTCTTTTCTCAAGTGTTTTTTTCCCTGACTTTCCCAATGGCCCGTGTCTGGTTTCCGCGAGTTCCCCCAGTGTATCTGATGAGGACAATGCTTGTCTGCTTGGAAAGCTCTTGTCATTTTAGTCTCACATCTTAGTTGTTACAAGAAGTACAGGAGTTACTCACATCTCAAGCTGTTTCCCAGATGCTTGATGATTTGTGAGGGGCCAACCTCCAGAGACTGAGTTTGTGTTGACTGTGTTCCCGCATCTATCTAAACAAGTTAACTCTGCAAAACCCCATTGAAAATCCCCTTAGAAAACTCCAGTGCTTTTGGTTCCAGTCCTGGCTGCACCACTTCATGTTGTAATTTAGCACGTGAGGAGAGAAGTAAGAGGGAATCAAGCTGTTCAGAGCTCTTGAAGAGTCTACTCCAATGTCAGGTGAAGGCTCTGAGTGGCTTTGCACTTCATCCCATGCGAGTTATAGAAACAGTATTTATGGCCATTCTTGTCAAACTTATTTCCTTCCTTTGTGGAAAAGGCATGTCTTCATACTGTAATATTTTTATATCCCCTATTTTACTATACCGAGAATTGTCTCCCCATGCTTCTTTCCAGCCTTTCCTCTATAATGACTCTATGATTACTGCATTTACCATGATAGAAATAACAAGTCACTGTGCTTTGATTTTTAAGCTTTTTAACATGTGCAGCTTTATTTCTCCATTTACCTGTTGAACTTGGATAGTGCTGCGCCAGACATTACATTTCAGCACTGATCTTGGTCAGCTGTGGTTGACCTGCAGGCAGAGCACCCCGGTCTGTGGGATTCGGAGTTTTAAGTTAAATGAAAAGCCGTGAGAGACCCTATTTTCTTGGGGTACAAGAATGCTGGTAACATACTTTCTCAGCTGGTGTGCTGAGTAAAGTGCACAGATTTTTTGTTTGGGGGTATATATATGAGCACATTTGAAAGATACCATCCCTACCACTCTAATCTCAGCAGCTGACAACTCCAGAGTAAAGCCTGTACTAGGATTGGCTGGGAAAGGGGAACCTTTCCCTCAGAAGCATGAACCACATTGAACCACACAGTGAAATGCGTGCTGATAGTGGGAAAATGGCAAGAGTTTGCTGTCCAAGAAAGAAGAGCAAAGTACTCTTAGGTATAGGATGAGTTCTGCCATGGTTTACTGCAGTAACTTTTATTCTGTCTTAGGGAATGGTTGTTTTATTCAAAAGTGCACAATTTGCTTTCATCAAAACTGTTTTACTTTTATTCCTTTTCCTGGACATTTTTTACATAGTCCTGTGAAATACTCTATCGTCTTGGGTGTACTGGGTGTTTTCAGAGTCCAAAGGTCCTCAGCATTTCAGTAGGAACTCAGTAATGTTGGCTGGACATTTTGTTTCATTCCAGATCAGGGAAAAAAAACCCAGAGGTGTCTTTTTTTTTCTTTTTCAGAAAAAAAAAAAGTAAAATAAAATAGAAAACAGACTTGAGTGTAGATGTTCCTGATCAAAATTGCAACAAAACTGATGGGTGGGTGGTCTGCATTTTCACTGAATTGTCACTTTTCCAATGCAAAATTCTTTTCTCAAAAAAGAGCAAAACAAAACAAAACTGGCTAGTTCTGCACTTCGTGAGCTATGGAGTCAGGGCTGTATTTGCTTAGAAAGGGTGGCTCAGGGTGTGAGAACATTTCATCTTGAATGAAGGCTTCTTAAAAATATGTCACAAATAGATCTTTGGAGATAGTTTTTACAGGAAACCCAGACTTTTTTATTCTAAGTTTCAGGTTGTTTGGAAGCTAGAATTACTACCCTGTCAGAAGGGTACAATGAACTGTTGACACACAACCACGCTTTGCTTACAGCTATGTACAGGGAGGTATTTACAGCCAGAAACCAGTGCAAAGCAACCTGAAAAATAAATGTACTTACCATGAAGTTTGTGCCTTTTCTCTGTGTTCCTGTTTTCCATGAGCATTTATGAAACAAATATATTTCTTTTATTTTAAGAGCTTAGAAAGCTTCAGTCAAACATTAGATTTTATTTTAAGAGAGAGAACTTTGATTACTGCTTGTAGTGGAACTGGAGGTTGACCTGACCTTCAGCAGAGTACTGGGAGTGATTTTCAATTTAAGATCAGGACACCAGAGTCTAGGTGTTTACATGAAAGCTAGTGTCCGAGTTCCCATTAGTAAGGAGAAATTTGGTCAATGTAGTTGGTCTTGACTAACTAAGTCAAGACCTGTCCAGGTGTAGCTCCCACCGACCATGTTGAGAAGGGCCTCAGCTTGCCCCCACGCAGGTGGCTCAGCGAGACAGCACAGCTTCCATGGGACTTCTGCTGGGGGCTGCTGGATGTGCTGCTGGACCTCCCTGTCCTCGTGGAGGCCAGGCAGGAAACCGTACTATGTCTTAAATGGCGTTGCGAATCTCTCTGTGAGTAACTGAACTGAGCCCTAGAACCCCACGCACCACATGGGGAACACAGATAGCTATCTCACTGGTGGAGGCTCAGATTTGAGTGTCCTAACTGGAGACTGAATCCTGCCGTGATCTGCGTGTTGCCTTGAAGCCTTCTGATCCTCGAAATTTCACCACGCTAAAGTTGTCAATGCACAAAAAACTAGTTGTTTGCAGTTCTTTGATGCTGGGAGCCAAATGTCAGTACCAGTCAGTAACAGCTGGACAATGCAAGTGCATGGTGCAACTGAGAAGACATTTGGACTTTTAGAGCTGGGTCTTGCCGCAGTTCCTGTTACCCTTGGAGCCAGGGATTTACAGCAGCTGAGGCTTTACCTTAGTATAAGTAAACTTTAGGAACAATGGAGTATTTGCTCAGGCAGAAGTTGTGGAATTTTAATTAAGTAAAGGCTTGGCTATTTGTCTTGAAATTATTCAATCAGACGGTTGGTGGGACAGTTTCTGACTTCAGTTACGTCCATGTAAGCATGGAGTATTTGTGTTAATGATCCATTGATGGCAAATGAGTCTCACCATATAAATAAAATCAAAATGTGACCTAACACATGCTTCTGGGAGGAAGCACTTTAGCATAACAAACAAACTTAGACTCACTCACATGTACTTCCCTGCAGCCTTGTTATTGCCGCTTTTGTTCAGAGGGCATCTCTCCTCAGAGCACCAAATTTGGGAAGCAGGCATCTTTCTTTACCTTTTTACTTCACTGTCTCACTTGACTGTTCTCATGCTTGCAGCTTTTATTAAAGTTTAAATTCTGTTTTAAAACCAAATAGGTGAGAAGGAAATTATATAGTTTATATCGATGTAAAAGTAATGATATATTTATCATAAAATAAAGAGTCTATGTAGTTGAGTACTGTTGTATTATTGTTTACAGGGGGTTGAATTAAGAGAAAATACACTGTACTTCTTATTCAATAATAACTGCTCCTAGACTCAACTTTTTGTAGACTTTAATTGCAAATAATTTGTGCTGTGTTATAAACTGTTGTGTTTTTTGCCTTCCTGTAACTGGAACAACATACTAATTTCTACGAGTTGTGACTACTAACAGAGAGCAATCACCTCACAGACTTGTACCGAAAAGAAGAGACCATCAGCGTGGCAGGGAATGGCTGCATCCACAGTCCGCGCTTCCCCAGCAGTTACCCCAGGAACCTCCTGCTGACGTGGCGGCTCCACTCCCCGGAGAGCACCAGGATCCAGCTGGCTTTTGATAATCAGTTTGGACTGGAGGAGCCTGAAAATGATATCTGCAGGTGAGTGGCATGTGGAAGTTTGCAAAGGGCTCCTTAATACCACCTTCAAGCTTAAGGATGTGGCCACTGGCATAAGACTGCAAACCAAAACCTGGGTATCTGTGGCTGGGTCTAGGATGGCCCTGCTTGGAGGACAGACCTTCAGGGGTCCCTTCCAACCCAAATTGCTCTTTGAGTTTATAAATAAACGGAGCTATCCTGGACTTGAAGCAGTTTTGGCAGGTTTTAGTCCTTCTATAATATTTTAAGCACAAGGCAGTTGTATGCTCAAATCCAGCTACCTAACAACTCAGGTACTGCTTTAATAGGATTTTGTCTCTATCACCTCTGCATTGTTTCAGCCAGGCAAAAACCATCTTTTTCAGTAGGTTGAAGGCTCTGGGAGGTGTGAGTGAGTTATAACATGTTTATATTGGGGTGTGAGGGACAGATAAAAATGCATTGAAAAATACAATTATGTTCTTCAAATTATTTGTTTGTCTTCAATGTTATTCTTCACTGGTAGTTTCTTTTAAAACCTTTAAATATAAGTCCACAAACATCAGTGTACTCTGCATACTAATATATCTAATAAAGTATACTCTACTATATCCTGGTTGCTTTGGCTTCCCCTTTTAAGCAAAAGCGACCATAAGCTCAGTTGATCTGGCTGATTAACCCAGGTGGATAAACTCTTTGCACTAGCAGAGCACAGAGGTGAATCTTGCCAACATTCACTAAAACAGTACAAATCCATGAAGTTTTTTGTTTATATTTCTTTTATTCAGCTATCTGTTCTGCAGGAGAGAGCAGGCTCAGGATTCCCGTGGGCTCCGAAAGGCAGATTACTGTGATGCTACTTACATAAAACACTCAAGTCTCAGCTTCCAGCTCTCTGCCTGATCATACTGTTACTTACGCCTTATCTATGCAGAGAACTGGGTTGTTAGGTTTTCTGCACACCCAGCCTCTGCTTATCTTATCTTCTTTGTCAATTAATTTGCATTTATAGGGTTTGGCAGTTCTTTGGGGTTTTACAGGGTGGATTTTTTTGTTTTGTTTTGCTTTGTTAATTTTCTACGTTACCAATAGAGAGAACCATTTCTGCAGGTTTGCTTTCCATTTAGTAATAAAAGAATGCAGCCTGAAACTGGATCTCCTTGCCTGCGCCTTGATGGTCTTGGCAGCTGCTACTCTGCTCTGGTGCTGTTGGTCCGAGATCAGCAGCAGCAGTCAGTAACGACAGTTACCTCCCAGCACCACAAACGCTTTCCCAGATTGAAAGCCTAATGCATACAGAAGCAGCTTGTTAATATTTACATAGTGGATAAACTGTGGCTGACCTTAAAGCATTGCAACTTTGAAACAGAGGGCTAATTTACTGTGGAAAAAAAGATGAAGTACTCTCTGTCAAGAGCCATTAAAGGTGGTGGCACGGTGAGGGGAAGTCAAGCTGTTACTGGCATTATGGGTTTGGGGACCATCTTCGAAAGCAGTCTGCCTGCTTTTTCCAGAGCAGCTAATTTAGGATGCAGAGAGAAGCAAAGACCTTCCATCATCCATAGTGTCTATAGAAGCTGGAGAAATATCACATTCTTTTCTGAAATAAAGCTTTCCCTGGTGTTCCTGGAAGACCTTTATTTGTGTAGTATTACTTCCAGAGTGAGGAATTTCTCAGGCAGACAGCTCGTGATGGCTTTAAGCCTGTTAAGTACTGTGTGCATAGTTAGATTTTTTGCTAATGCTCAATATGTTTTTCAAAACTAGGTTCCTTTCTGCAATTTCAGTCCCTGACAATCCCTACAGTGCTGCTTTAGAGAGACAGCTAAGCGTGTTTTAATTGAAATGAATGCTGAGAGCTGAGCATGTGCTTGAATGCTGTGCATATTGGACGAGTAATTCAGGGCCTCTGCACCTTACCTTCCTTTTGTACTTGCTTTTGACCTTACGTTTTTTTTCCAGAAACTTCCTAGTGTTTTCTTTCAATTTTTCATTAATGCTAATTATTGTAATTTGCATACTATTAAGACTGAACTGATTGAAATTCATTCAGGCTGAGGAATGAAAAGGTATACTTTAGCAGAACTGTTTTGGAAGGAGGGGAAATATTGAAGGTTTTACAGAATTTTCTAGAAGTGCTGTTAGCATTTCCACAGGCACTTGATAAGAGATGATTCTGAAAAGCGATTAAATTACCCAGCCTCTGAGGCTCTTTGGATGCTCAGAAACAACCGAGATTGCACCTACTTCCATGATCATTGCAGCAAAGCCTCTGCTGTTGAAAGCAGAAATTACCCCTGAAAGCCCATGGATTTGCCCCATTTTTGCCAGCAGTTAGTCTGACTCCTGGCCTCAAAAAGTAGAGGCCGGTCAGGGAAATTTTCACCAATGCCTACAAGGTCATCTTATGCTGAAGACTCTGCAACCCCTCATGTTAAAATAAGCGTTCGCTGGCTGTCGTGCTGCCCGGGGGGCAGTGGTGGATGCTCGCACAGGCAGCACAGAGCTCTGCCTGGGTACCACGTCCATCACCATGAGGGAGTGGGACCAGAGGACAGGGGAGAGAGCCTGAGACAAGTTCACCTCTGTCTGGAACTAAACTTTGTAGTGTTACAAAAAAAATGTGTGTTTCAGCAGAGTTTGGGCAGATTTAAGTGATTTGGTTATGGCGAATCTGTTATTTTCTGTTCTGTGCAATTTGGGGTTGGTGAATATAAAAGCAGCAGTGCCGATATTCTTAAGCCACATAGTACTTGCATTTTTTTCACATGGGCTCTCAGCAGAAAAAGAAAAACAGGTCTGTTATTTACAGAGCTATTCAGCGCCCACAACTGGCTAGGGAGGCGGGCGCCTGGCCCGCAGACCCGGGGGTGGGGAGCAGCACATTTCTAGTAAGAATTGGTTAACAGTCTTAAACTCCCTTTTTGGAAGGAGCATGCTTCGATAATAAAAACCTTTCCTGGTAAAGACCTCCAAAGTTTTAAGACTTAACTGTACTGTGGAGATGGCAGCTCTCCCTGTGTCTCGTTGCCTGTGCTCAACCTGCCCCTCTTGTCATCACCTCTCCCTCGCCGGCTGCAATTTGTGGGGCCTAATTCTGCCTCCACAGATATCGAGGGACTGTCTTTCTCATAGACGTAGTGAGATCAGGAATTTATCCTCTGCCTTCGTTATTCTCCAGCTCAGAAATGAACTCAATAAATGACCCAAGCCAGCAAATATGCGGGCTGTGGCACTGAGTGCTGTCACTGTGTCCTCTCGTCCCTGGGGTTTAGTGTCTGCTGCTCCTGGCAGAGCCCTCTTTTGGCTGTGGCACAGGTGCCTGGACAAGGTGTGACCTTGCACAGGGTAAGACGTGCTGCTGCTTTTCCCCAGGTGAAGAGCGGAGGAGTCCCTGCCACGGCACGCAGAGTGCCAGCCTGCCCTTTTCCATTTGAAAGCTTGAAATTAGTCTTTCCAAACCATCTAGCAGGACCACCATGACTCCTACAAAGAAAGTCCTAAAAAGCACCTTTCAGCAGCATGCACTGCCCTGTGTCCCTCCAGCATCTCCCTTTGCTCCCGGCACGGCAGCAGCCTGACTCCAGCCCTCTTGACAGGTGCAGCAGGCGGGAGCTGGTGGCTGCTGCTGCAGGGAGCTGGGGGGACCACCAGAAAGTGCACAAGGGCTTGCAGCTGCTCAGCTTGGGCAGCCTGCCTTAAATAATATTTTATCAGGTCTCTAAATTATTTATCTACCACATGAAACGCAATGCATATGTTTACTGTGTACTAAGCACATGCAAGTGCCTCTCATTGCTATTGTAACATGGTAGAAAATACTGTCTGTTGTGTTCCAGGAGCCCAAAACCCAGCCATTTGAGCACTCAGGCAGTAGCTTGCAGCTTAGTGTATTTTGTGCTACATGGTATGTCCACCATTTGTAATATTTAGTCTGATGTTTTGCAGTGGAGAACAGGGGACAGCTGTCTTTGTGTCTCCAGCTATGCTCCTGTCTATTTGCAGCCATCTCCTGTAACCAGAGTTAGCAAAAACTAATCCTTCAAACTGGTTCCCAGGTATGACTTTGTGGAAGTGGAAGATGTATCAGAGACCAGCACGGTTATACGAGGACGGTGGTGTGGACACAAGGAAGTACCTCCAAGAATAACATCAAGAACAAATCAGATAAAGATAACCTTCAAATCTGATGACTACTTTGTGGCTAAACCTGGATTCAAGATCTGTTATTCACTTGTGGTAAGTCACCTAGCTGTGTCATGGGTGAGAGACAGATTGTAGTGTAAAAGAGCATCAGTACTTGAAAACTGGGTGGTGTAGCTAACTGCATTGGATCGAAACACTAATTGACTGAAAGTATTTTCATTCCAGCAACTACATTAATACAGATCAAAGTATTTGTGACATCCTGTCATTAAATATAAAATAAAGTCAAGTCCAGGCCAAGATTTACACTAATAACATGTTTCAGAAGCACTAACACTTTCTGCACTGAGGCTGCACTGCCAGTGCCTCGACAGATGCTGCAGAAATAGCGAAGAAATGGCTGCTCTATGAACTCCTTTTTTATGTTCATTTGAGGTCAAATAAAAATACCTTGAGGGGTTATGGCTGTGATTCTGAGTTAGATGCAGAGTAGTTTATTCTACATGCAATAAAATTCTACATGCAAGACAATGTGCTAAGGCTCAGGCTGTATTTTTAACCACGTATAAACATGCCTCTTTGTATATGCAGCGGCATTAGCACTGTATCATGTACTGTTTCAGTGAGATGAAAACCTCCTCTGTTTTTATTTTGGTTTTGTCTTTAGGGAGCCAGAATGCTCATTACTCTAAGTAGATTTTGATACAAATATGTATTCCTTTGTATTGTCCTGATTAATATTATAACGCTTTTGGTGCAGTGTAGCTCGAAAGAGGCAGATTTTGCAAACATTCAGGAAATGGTAAGCATTATTATACTGTCATCATTATATTTTCATATCCATCACACTTCTTATTCCCTTTTTATACAGTCCACTGTTATTTAACAAGAATAAGAAAGCCTGGAATAGCAATAATGTTAATGCTGTAACAGGAGAAATCCACTCTTTGAGTCATTTCACTTCAACCTCTCAGCTTTGCATGCATGTATGCCTACGTATGCCAAAAAGAGTCCATAAACAGCACATTGTCAAGACAACTCTGAAACTATAAAGATTGTGGTCCCTTGCATTTAAATTGTTAGGCTTCTAGTGGAGTAATGCATTGCACTACGAGTAAATCCTGAGCTCTAATTTAATCTAATTTGAAGGTAATCTACTAAAACTAAAATTTAGGCAGAACAGTCTATGAAAGACCACTGGGCATAAAAATGAGACAGTGAAGCGGCCTCTCTTGACACTACTCGTATTTCAGTGCAGCCACAAAAACTGCTGCATTTAGCAAGCTTTATTCCAGACCACGTACAGCTAGTCTGATAGTATTAGGCTTTCCAAAAATGAATGTTATCACTCAAAACACAGAAGACTTTGCACTAGAAAGCTCAAAAAAGGCTACTGTATTTATCTAATTTCAAAACTATGAGCAAACAGAATTTTACAGTCTAGCAAATCTATTCAGAAGAATACTCTCCAAGAGCACCCTCTGAATGAAATACTGTTTTTTTCTCAGAAAGAAACCATACAGGTGATTAGTGGCATTTGCACATCACCATGAGATGGGGGGTGATACATACTTAGCTGGATCTCAGATTCCAAACTGTCCAACCTAAAACTGCAAGATTAACATTCAGCAGAGTCAGCCCTTATTCGATAGTCCCCACAGTCGCTTAGAGCTCAGTTCATAGATATGCTGAGCACTGCTGACCCCTGAAGGTTGAACTCATTGTGCGTTTCTAGGCGGCAAACCAAGGAGCATTAATGAAGCATGCAAAACCATATGGTATTTTGTATCAGATGAAATGAAAGGCCTTTACGTTGCTTTTTTTCTTTCTTTTGTAACCTTCTCCAAGACAAGGCTACTTCTGGGGGCTTTCTTGGAAAATGGTGCACAAGAGATGTGCAAATCTTTAACTCCCTTTTTTTTTTCTTATATTTGGAGTTTGGATCTGCATGGCAGTTGTTTATTTGTATGCTAGACTCTGATTGATAATTTCCAGAGAAAATTGAAGCAAGCAATTTGGAGAGTTCCCTTGAGTTTATTGATCAGCTTCATCTCCTGAGCGGTGCCAGAATGGCTGGGTGAATTTCTTGCCGTTACGCATGCAGCCAAAAAGCCTCGCAGCCTTGCTCTCTGGCCTTCTCATTTATGAATCTTCAAGGAAGTCAGTTAAGTTCACTTCATTTGACGCAGATCAAGTTTTTACCTAGTTCAGTGCTCTGCATGAGGCACAAATGAGGCACCATAGAGCTTAGCAGAAGCATACTTCATTATCTTCATGTACTTGTGTTTTTGCACTAACTTTACATTTCAGTACCATTTAGAGAAACAAAAAGGGATTATTTTTCTAGAGAAGACATAAGTTAGACTTGTATCCATGAAAATCATGTTTGCCCTTGTAAAACAAGGCATGCAAATTAAGCAACCCATGTAAGACAGAGGGGCTCAGTCACTCAGGATGGTGGGATTAGAATTCAAGGTGACTCTGAAAAATTAGACTAAAAAAATACGAGGATGATCTTTAAAAGGACAGTGTTGAAAGCCATACAGATGTGTGGGAGTAATTAACTGTCCCAATATAAGATAAGGGACAATGGGAAAGGGAGCTGATCTGTGAAATAAAGTCTGAGCATCTGAACATAGCATTTAGCAACCTTTGCTTGCCAAGGCTGGCTCCTTCCACCTTCTTCCTCTTCCTCTCCCCGTGTCCTCTGCCTCTTGGCACCTCTGCCTCTACCCTCCCCTCTGTGTTTGAGGGACTAGGAAGGCTGGAGGGGGAGCAGTGAGCGTGGTTTTGGAGAGAAGGGGCAGATCCAACATGTTGCTGCCTGTTGCCTGTCCCTGATCTGCTCTTTCCCCATGAAGCCATAGGACTCCTTGGGGGTGGGAGCTCCAGGGTGGAGCTGACGCCAGGAGCTTATTAGTGACTTGAGTGTGCCCCACTGGTTATCTCAAGTTGAATAAGAGTCAAAAGTGTCCTAATGTGGCTGGAAAAAGTCACTCCTACTCTGTGCTGTCTGTGACGGTGCAGAAGGAGGCAAGTATGTGCAGCTGGTGGCTGGTGTCTAGGGACACTTCACACTCAAAGCCCCAAGTTGTGGCTGTGCAGTTTGTTGGCTTAACCTGAGTATCCACACAGAGAAATGTCTCTCTCAAACCTCTTTAAAAATTGTCTTTTCCTTCAAGCTTCACAGACCTAGAGCAAAAATGGTCTGGAGCAAGCCCTGGACAGCTATTAGGCATGAGCCTCACTTAGCTGCAAATTTGTTTGAAATTCCTCCCTGCTATTATCACTTAACGTGGTTATTTCTCAAACTTTTTTTTTTTTTTTACTTTTCTTGATTGAGTTGCCTTAAAAACTTTTATTTGCAGTATAGAAGGCACTGAGGTATTCCAGTCTTTTTTTCTCACGCATTATATAATTTCTTGACTCTAAGGACATAGTTTCACAACAAACACTGTAGAAATATGTGATACAGAGGAAGATAAGTCATCTTAGGTTACTTACACAGTCGCTAGAGGGGAGCTAGGCACTGTCAGGAGAGAGGCCCCTGGGTTGCACACCTTAAAGTAGATGACATGAATATTCCATATTGCCACAAATGTAAAATTTCACTCCATCGCTGCTTGCAGTGCAGTTACCTCAACTGAGGGATCTTGCATGTAGCAAGTAAATATTCAATAATTACTAAAAATACTGCATCAATTATTTTGAGATGTAGGAATGTAAATTAAGTTACAGTGTTACACATGGAAATAATCTTTGCTTGACTGAAGTAATTTTATACAATCCCCTTTTTCCTTCTGAAGTTAAATTTTTCCAATGTCCTAATTCGAGAAGGGAATATTAACAAGTTTGGACCCCACTTTTACAAGTACATTAGCGTGGACATTTACTAAAATAATCTAGGAACTCGTTCAGGAACGTGTTCCAACAATAAAGGAGAATGTTTTGAATTAAAATTCCCAACCCTGCATCTAATTTCATTTTAATGAGACAACTAGAAAACGTTGGATTCCATTTGCTAATTAAAACCACTATTTTAAGTTTATTACAAAAGGCACATATTTGTTATATGCTTATAACAGTAAATTGTTATTGCCGTACTAATTGTTTCGTTAATCCTAAATGAAATCCATATTTGGGAACTTTGACTAAAATCATTATTGGAAACAAGGGCTTCAAGAAAGCTTGGAACATATGTACATGTATATGTACAAACATGCATATATACAATGATGTAAGGTTAAAAATATATATTTACATATACATCTTTTTACATATATACACATATATATGTGCTTTTACCTTTCTTTTCCTTCTAATATAATTCATGACTAGGAAACATCGCATGGTTAAACGTTGGAACAGGCTGCCCAGGGAAGTGGTTGAGTCACCATCCCTGGAAGTATTTAAAAGACACGTAGATGCGGCGTTTAGGGACATGGTTTAGTGGGCATGGTGGTGTTGGGTTGACAGTTGGACTCGATGATCTTAGAGGTCTTTTCCAACCTTAATGATTCTATGATTCTATGGCATTAAAAGCAATCTTTACTTCTTTGGGAATTGTAAACCAACAATGGTGGACATGTGGTGCTAAACAGGAGAGCATAAGTGCATTTGTCCCAGGATAAACTTATGTGTCAAAATGTGTATCAATGTGTTAGAACATGAGTAATTTTTGCTTTTTTGAAATGACATTTCTTGAATGAATGAGCCATAAAGAAATTAATGGATTGGGTGGGGAACTTTGGGTTTTGATCCATCATGTGGACTTCTACAGGGAACTAGCTTTCTGCTAAATGTCCAGGCTATAGGTCACCACCATTCATATGATCAAAAAAAGAACATTGGTCACAAAGTGGGGAAAGACATCACAGGCAGTCTAATAAAATTTAATTATTTGCCCATGCAAAAAAATGTTGACCAGTCAAAGTTAGTTCAAATACTAGATTTAAACTCTTTGATACTTGTCTGTTAAGCTCACAAGAAAACACCAGCAATTTAAAGCACAATCAGAAAATGAAAATGGGCAGAATAAGAACCTGGTCCTGATGCTTGTACTCACAATCACTCTGAATTAAGCAACTGGCTCCCTGTATTTTAGCAGATTTGTTTGAACAAGTAATGCAGCACCAGGCTGCAGATTTTTTAAATGTCAATAAATAAACTTCCTTGTAAGAGTTAACAAGATTGCAAAAAGATTCAACCACCAATGTGAATACAGATTCATAAAGACCATAAAGGATGATTAATTCTTTACCACTGGCGACAGAGCTGAATCCAGCCCAGGAGCTGCATGAGTCTTTGCTGCTGTGCTTCTGTTTTAGCTTGTCACTTCTTTCACAGAATAGACATTTAATTTCTGTCTCCAAGACAAAATATTCTGCCTGAAAGCCCATATAATATATCTCATGTGACAACAGGTATGATAATGGTGCATGAATACCTTCCCTGCTTTTAGATAATCCACAGAAGGAATCCCTGTAAATTGCTGGGGGTACAGAAGGAGAGGAACGGGGTGGGGGGGCAGTGTCTTGGTTAATAATGTGGTTGAACATGCAATAGATCTCGCAATGAAGAAGCAAGAACTTACATGTGGAAGCTTTATCAGTTGTTTTTCTGCTACTCTTTCTCTGATTTCAGTTTTGATTGCCTGTCTATGCTAGACAGCAAAGGTTTTTTTATAAATACTACCCATGTGCAAAACTCGTAACAATCTAAATGATGAAACTTCTATTTTCTTAAGTTCTGGCAGAAAACTATTTTCTGTGTTTTTGCTCAAGGCATACCATCCTAAAATTA